TCTGACTCTGTCTTGTGAGCTACAAAGGGAATGAAAATATTGAAATAAATCCCTCCCTCCCCTGCCAAATAGACCTACCTTCTTCTGGTACTTTTCTGCCCGCAGCCCCTTCGGCGCTGCAGGGAGCGGGGCAGCGCGCCACCCCCGCCCCGCTGCCGGCCGCTCTCCGTGGGGAGAGAGCGCGGAGCCGGGGAAGGGGAGGGGGAAATGCCGCCCTGCTCCCATCGGCGCTACGGGCACGTCGCGGTCTCGGTGAGGGCAGCTCGGCACCTTTGCAGGCGATCCTTCCCATGAGGACGCAACAAGAAGAAAAACGGTCTCGAAAACTTCCACCGTAAAGGAAGCGTTCTCCTTCTTTCAACGGGCGAAAGTTGGCCATCGATAACACGAGTTTACTTAGGACATTTTTATGTGAGGCACCACTTCTCGTAGCTAAGTTATGTAAAGATTGTGTCCCAGTACAGGGTTGTAAAACTTACAGATAATTTACTTCATTCTCTTCCAATGTAAGGAACTCGCCGTACTACTTTCTAAGGGCTGAACAAATCCAAAGGTTTGAAAGTCAGATTTATTACTGTGTATTCTACTCTGTAACCTCAGCAGATTGCAGTAATTGTCTTGTGCGGATAACACAATAGTATTGATGCTTTCTAGATAGTAGTTACAGTGGAGAAAGTCTATTATCAGTTCACAAATCTATCAAAAAAGTCAGTGCAGTTACCCACTGAATGTCTACTGAACTTACATATTTTCAAAAAGTTTATGTTTTGGGGGGAGTTAACAAATTAGGTTAGATTTAGTGGTGATATATATATATATATATATATATATAAACATTTATTAACTTACTACTTCCTGGATTTACATTTGTTACCAAAATAGATCCACTACAGTAAAGCACCTTGATCTCAGCAGTGTAAAGTCAAAATCATTTATTGCTTAGGAGACATAAGACATGCCCAGTCTGAACTAATTCATTTAATTAACTCATAATATTGATCACTCTATACTGAAATACATATTGGATAAAATCAGGTTCTTACAGAAAATGTAATATTCCCTTTGTCTCCAGCGTGGCCCAGATTTCATTCAATGCATATACTACCAAAAAAAAATGCCATAATACAATATTTTGCAAAAAGTAAAATCTCAGTAGTCAATCTTTTCCAATCATCTTCTGATCTGTACATTTTTCAGTACTTCCATATATTCACATACTGAATATTGACCCAAAATACATTCAGTTAATAATACTTCAGTGTACTTCACATTTTGTGTCAGAGGCATAGTAACTACTTCATAACAAATCATGCAATAGGTTTTCAGCGCTACAATAGTGACAATGAATTATCCTCTAAACACACAGGCAACAGGAACCTTTCCATGGAAGCTTTTTCCAGTTTCTCTCTGCTTTTCCAGTTGTTTTAAAGAGTGCAGGAAAGTTATTATCACATTATTCCAGTGGAAAATATATATACGTTTTCCTTCACAACATGTTCACACTTTATTTTTTTTCAGCTTGCAAAACTCCAACAATAAAAGGTATCCTGTACTGAAAAGAAAGTGATACATTTTACAGAATGGAAAATTTGGAGAAATCACAATATCCTTGACTCAACAAAAGACTAAGGCATCTGTCTCACTTCAGGCACACATCAGTGGGACAGCTTAGCATACCAGGATCAATAACATGCTCAAGCAGTTTGTTACATGAAGGATGTCTTCCTGAAATCCATCTCCTCACCTGTAAAATGAAGATTTCCATGTGTCACCAGGACACTGGAAGATTATTTAATAATGGTAAGATTTCAAACACTATGATGAAGGAAGAGAGAAAAAAATTTATAACAGTGTGAAGTTAGAAGTCAGATACAATGGTGACAGGTGCTCTCTAGAAAATAATTTTATGCTCATTTCCTTCAAGATGAGATTCACTTCTCTGAATACTATAGGAAAGAAATGATCAATATTACAAAGCTACAGGACTGCTGACATGGCTGATCTCTTCCTAAAATCTATTTATGCAATTGATAGTTCAAAAATTGCATCCCTGAAAAGTATTGCAGACTGAAAAAAATTTAAATATGAAGGAATAATATGCCTAGATACAGCAAACAAAATAAATTACTACTTAATATATTTAACTTGATTTCCTTCTTTAAAAACAAGTCAGAATTTGTACGTGGATCATGAGAAGGATGAAATTGCATCCCAATTACACATTTGCAGTTGAGACAAGCCATCTTCTTTCCATTCCAACAGAAGTACATAATACAAGCAGATTTACTTGGGAAGAACCTAATTTCCTTGGTGACATGTCAGAAAGTGGCCGTTACCTGGGTGATCTGTTTGCCTCAGTTACTGCAAGATTCATCTATTCTGGACCTCTCTTTCTGGTTGTACACACAAGAGAAGTAACTCCCCTCAAAATAAGTCACTGACCTACTTTCAAAACTAATTTCTTCCCAAGGTGAGAGAAGTCTGAAGGCACTTGTTAGCATCCAGGACTCCATTTCTTCTGTGGGGCACTCCCATGCCCAAGTTTTGCAGAAGTGAATTTTGAGCTGCTTAAAGACCTCAGTGCTATACAGATGAAGAAACTATTTTTTGCTGCACTGGACTTGACTCATCAGTCACGGTTTCTTCTTAACACTCTCAGCCAAGCCGAAAGTGCTTTGAGAATGCTTCAGTCTTCTCTCTCATTGTACGCCAGTGTCCACTGTGTTTTCATGAGAACTAGCTAGCTGTTAGTCATCAAGCTGTACCCTACTCAGTAGGCTTCACAATACAGAAAGACAACACATCGTGCTTAAATTTACCATATTGCTAGATTCGCTAGCAACACAACGTGAACATAAAAGCTCAAGGTGGAGATTCAGATACGAAGTTTCACTAATCTAGGATTCCACATATAGTATTTAGAGGTAGGGAAAAATACAGGACTTTCAGAAAATATTGATGTGGCTTTTAGCTCTTACCAGATAACAGTCTTCTACCGACTATGTATTTTGGAGTTTGGGTTACAAAACCGATTTAGAGATGAACTTCAAAGCGGTGCATAAATATTAAATTCCACACATTCCTGCAAGATGGTAAGTATTATTCACATTATACAGATGGGGAAACTAAAGCAGTGCGAGTTTACTTGGGCAATTTTCCCAACTTTAGGAAGAAAAAGTAGTTACAGTGATCAGTACTCAGTAATACCTAGCTTTTTTTCTGCACTCAGTCTGAACTATACATCACTTGCCTAAATGCTGCAGTATAAAGTATAAAGGAATATTTTGTCTTTAATCGTGGTATTCTTTAGCACAATTTTCAAGCAATTTATTTAACAAATTACATAAAACACCTAAAATATGCTTTTGATTTAAAAAAATAGCCAAAAGGTTTTTCCTTGGGCTTTGCTCCAAAATTCACCCTTCAGCTAGGACTGAAGAAAAGCATGCATGCTTGTGCACATGCAAACAGGAATTCTAAGAGAAAATTAGAAACACATGAAAATAAGGATTGAGAGTGTTTTCTTAACTGCATTCTGGCTTCAGTACAGCAAAATTTTCATTGATTTACTAATGGGCAGCAATTTTTCTTGTGAAGGAATACATAGGCCTTATCTGCAATTAATTCCTCTGTTCCATTAGACCAATTATCATTCTACAGAAGTTCAGCCCATGGATGCAGGGTAGTGACTGCTCTGTCAGGGCAGCCCAGCTCTCTCTATAAAGCACAATTCTATTTCAGTCATAAGGCTATGCTGCTCTATGAGAAGAGCTTTTACAGAAAAAGTTTCAGTCAAGACAACTATTATTTTAGTAAAAGTCCAATTTTGAGACTATTTTATTGTGATTGCTAGATAAATAATCAAAATCAATACAATTTCTATGCTGATTCAGAATAATAAACATATGGAAGACAAACTACTTGAATTTCAAAATTTGTTTTTAAATTATTAACTCTGGACTGGAAGTTTCTTATCAAGTCTGCTATTCCATGAATGTTCCAGGGCCTTTGTAACTATATTAAAGATTTAATGTCACTTTACGTGATGTGAAGTCTGTTTTGCCCATCTGACTGTTATAAACACCAGCAGTCAGAAGGCAATTCTGAAAGCCTAATGAACATGCTCAAAGACTTTCTGACATTTCAATTAGGAATAAAAAAATAAACTAGATAGAATAACTGTCTAAAAAGACTAATAAGCTGAAATGCATAATTTAGAGTTTTGGAATTGACATCAGTTGCTCGACTTTCGAATCATTAGTAAAGTCATCTTCCAATTAGTCTTTGGAAGAGATACAAAAGGTTTTGAAGTAAACTTTAAAAACCACCATACATTATTTTCAAATATCTCTAAGACAGAATATTTGTGATAAAGAGAATTAATTATAAATATGGAATAATTGCATTATTGCTTTTTTGGCTATACAAGTTTTAATCCAACAACTTTCATATTTCAGTGGAGTAACTCCTCATAGATCAAATGAAAGGAAGCGTTTTATCCTTCAACTGTCTTCCCATCATATAACTTAGCTGTATGTTAATATTGATTTTTTCTACACCATAATTTCATGACAGTATTTTAAAAGTTAGAGACTATATTAGAACACAGGTCTTCAAAACACTAGAGGAATAACATTTACTTCATATTACAGTTCAGGCATAATGGAAGTCAAACAAAGTATTAATAGTGGTAATTGAATAAAGTTAATAAATTGAATAAAATTGAATGCTACCCCATAATTTTCTGTTAATTCTCCCCTAAAAATCAGAAGACAGAAAATACATATCTATTCATGAATTAGTCTATGATAATTTGGGGGTCAAGAATAGTACATAAATATTAACGATATTAAAGCAGCAAGTAATAAACACTGACATTCCAAATCAAATTATACAGCCATAATGAAAATGTATTAAGAAGCCTGCTTTATTACTTTCCTCATCTAGTTTCAGAATTGAAGTTCCTCAAATGCACGGTAAGGTCTTTAATACATTTCTAATTATAAAATGTATTGTTTCTTGAATAAAATTGCATGGTCCAACCAGGATGGAATATTGTCCTGAGCATCTAAACAATAAAGACTGATCTATCTAAGCTCATTAGATGTATCTATCTTTGTGTAATCCCATTAACTGTTCAGGTTCACCCGATTAATCCTGTTGAACGGTATTTTATTTCTAGGCTTGTTTCTCCTGATTGACATTTTCAAGGAAGCTTTACCAAAAGGCAGTTCTTCTATTGCCTCATAATTGTGCCTTTAGTTTGAATACCAAATTATTATTGTACTCAGGGATTCACTTCCTCTGCGAACCAGCTAATGAGGTGACTTACCCATGCTCTGTCATCACTTTAAACAAGCAGCCAGGACAATGAGTTATTCATGTAACTAATTATATATATTTTAGGACTTAATTCTGCTATTTTATGTTAGTATAATTTGTCTGTTATGCTACAGAAAACGTGTATTCTTGCTATAGCCAAATAAGGCCATTTTATGCATTATCTATTTATTGCACATACACAAAAAGCTTAATGTCCACAGCCATTTGATTTCCTGCTGCTTCTCTAGATATTCTTAAAGAATATGCCTATACATGAAAGATTATCAGCTCAACTAAGATTAATCTTTAATTAACGTTTTAATGCTTGTAATAAGTAAATCATTCTTCCTAATACTATACAGTCTTAGCATCAAAATATGAGATTTTAACATGTGTATACCACACAACTTTCTTGAAAATAGTAATATCACAATAAAAGTACATTTTGCAGAAACTGACATCTGTTTCAAAGGACAAACCTGGGTATTACCCAATTCTTCCAAAACTACTTGGGAAGAGACATTATAAGCCTTGTGAAAAAAAAACCAAAGTATATCGAAGTTACCTCTAACTTTCCAATAAAACCCAAGTTGCTGAGATTACTAACATATAAAGGCTGCAGAACTGACTAAAGTTTTGTATAATGTCGGCATACACAATTCAGCTGAAAGTTTGCCTCATCCTAAAGGTAGACTGGTAGGTGGTGCTTTTTACAGTCTAGCACTGTGATGTTAAATTTTATGTGATAAAGTCTAAAGATAAATGAATTATATAAGCTTTTATACCATTCTTATGAATTAGGGTAGAGTTTAAATTTAATAAACTAGTAACTTTTGCTGTTCAATCTAGTAAAAGCATAGTTTGGAATTCACATACTCTGAATGTCTTCGTCATGTGTTCGTTTCATATTTATTATATTCTCCTACCTTATGCAAGTACTTGCAAGAAGACATCTTACAAATTTTGAGGAATGACCTTAGATGTAATGCACTTTGATCTGCTACTAATACCACTAGTTGGCTGAAGGATTCCTAAAAATGCATTTGCTTCTGGGAAATGGGTGTGTTCAGGAATAAGGAAACTCAAAAAATCAGCATAAAATACTTTAATAACTGTTTTGGGGAACTAATATCCTAGAAAAAGAGGTAATCCACACAGAGAGATTTGTAGGATTGTTAACAAACCAGAAAGAAAGTATACTGACAAGGTGAGTAGTAGGTGATTAAATTTAACAGAGAATTGAGAGTGCCATTCATAGGGGTAGATCCACCTCCAGTCTTCACTGGGCAATTTGTGAACTACGTCATACAAGGAGTTAACAGGCTAGAAGCCTTGTTCCCATGTCACATAACACAGAGGCAATTTCATCCTTATCACTTTGGCATTTTGGGAGCCCTCATTCCTATTGCAGATGGATGGCTTCCAAATAGAAAACATAATTTCAGACAATGTTCAGGAAACCAAGGCGGGTTTGGTTATACAACACAGTGTTTAAAAGAGCCTGGCCCCTCGTGTGTCTTTTTAAAATTTAGTTCTTAAATTATGTTTTTCTCATTAAAAGCTACTGAACTGAAGTAGATTACAACATGTATTTAAACTTGGTTTATTGAATCCAACAAAAATAAAGTTGAATCTATTTTATAAAGAAAAGATAATTGGATTATTCAGATATTCCAATGTGCAACAAATTACTTTTTTGTTTGCTAGCTTTGATTAGCATTTGCTAACACACGTGAATTCTGGACACATAACAAAGGTCTTATTTTGCCCACTATTATGACAGTTTATAAAAAAAAAAAAAAAAAAGCTCAAGAATAAGCATCTGACAGTTCCTATGTTGAAGGATCCATCTTCTCCATCACTGAGACTACATTCTGTAATTTTACTTTTAAGAGGAATCCACTTTTTAGATTTAATTCCTTTGTAGTTCTGTTAATACATTGGCTTTTGCTGTGACTGTGCTTGTGTATGTGCTGTTTGTCATAGCAACATCCAGTTATACGACCAGCAGCATTTGATTGATACATAAATTCAACACAATTTCTTTGATACTTAGGAACATAAAAGATTCATGTGGTTTTGCCACATCACCTTTCTTTTTAGAAGTGCTAACAACAGAATGAAAAATAATCAGCATATTGCTATAAACAGTAGGTTTATGAAAAGGAAATATGTCCATTATCTCCCCAAATTATTCTGAAAGGTCATGAATAGTATTTCACACTGAATAGTAATTCACTGCAATTCTGATATAGCATTACATTAATAAATTAATTTAAAATGAAAATAATGTGAGAAAAGTCTTTTAGCACTGTAATAGCACCCATGTTTTAGCCTGGTAGGCACTTCAGTGCTTTACCAAAATCTATAAACGGTAAGTAAATAATAACCTACTGTTTTCTACAAAGTCAGGCTGGCTGATTAGGTGTTGAAAATGTGAAAGTATGGGAATACTTGTGGTTAATCTTAATAGTTATTCAGAAATTAGTATATATGAACAGGACTTTCCATGAAGGAAGCCAGACAATAACACTGCAAAAAGGGTAATCGTTATGTTACTATTTGCTCATGAAATGAAAAAAAGGACGTGAACTTTTACAGTATCTATTATTGTCTTATCCCCTAAAAGGGAACATTATTAAATTTACTATAAATTCTAAAAGTCCATATTTTTACAATCAATGTATAAAGTTCTAGTTCTAAAATTTTAAAGCAAAAAAATATTTGCCTTGTTCTATTAAGTGTTACATCAGTGCACATAGTTTCACAGCTCGTCCTGAACAACTCAATTTTTTGTAACCTTAAATACAACAGAGCCTTAGTAAAGTGTTCTTTCTTTTATAATAAAAACAAAATAAACTTCAGCTTCTGTTTTATATGCCAGTTGAGATTTTTTTTTCAGTAATTCCTTCCACATCTGTTCTGCAGCTTTCAGGTTTATAAAAGCAGTATCTCCCAATTTCCTTTCATCAAAGTATCCATATGCTGTGTTTTATAGACCATTGGTACACATTAACAGTGAGGCACTAATTACAATTTACTAATTACAAGGCTAAGAAAATAAATACATGTGGTTATGAGGCATCTAATACTGAAAATGCCGAACAACCTAACCAAAAATTCCTCGAAGTGTGATAATATACCAATATAATTACACCTGAAATTATCACAAAAGCTGTAAAAATAAAATTAAAGGAGGTAAAGGAAAAAAAGTAAATAACAAAGCTAAACACAAGCACCACCAGATTCTAAACTAATTACCTAAGATCACGTGCAGAAAAGTTGTCATCCAGATGATGACAGTAAAACTGTTGCTAAAGAACAAAATTGTTTGGGAAAGGGGCTGGTATGGGAAAAGCTTAATTAACCATTTGTCAAAAACAGAAATCTCTAGGATTTTTGAAGACGATACAGTATTAGCATCTCCTCCTGATTTCAAGCTTCTAAGTTGCTGGAGTGTTGTAAACGTCATTGGCTTCCCAGTGAGCAGTCCACTGATGGAAGCATTTGAGGGGACAGAGAGCATATAAAATGGATGATCTTCAAATCACATTAATCTTCACTATATGCAGGATTAGGAGTTTTGCATTGTCCTGACCAATCTGTAGTGCTGTATTCCTTTTTCTATGTGCTGTCACTGCACACCCAGTACTCCTGTCCCCTTGGGGGTACAAGCATAGTAGCCACCCTCACATCCACATCTGACATGACAGTCTAAGCACAACTGAGAAACTGCAGGTAGCCACTGTTCTTTACAACAAATTGTGTGTAAGCATGGTATGATCTATAAAAATTAGGGGGCCTAAAAATATCCATTCACCTCAAGAGAAAGATGAGGCTCTTATTTTCAGAAGAGCAGTGTAATCCTTCATGCTTCTGTCCAGAAGTTCCTAATGTGCTAAAAACTTTTCAATGGGAGAAATGAAATGGAAATAACACTTTTTTGTCAATTACCTACCTGGGACATATTTGTAAGTGTGCATACAAAAGAGCAAATCTGTCTTCTTACAAAAATTGATCAGTAGACCTGCAAATAAATGCTTTCAACCCTGAAATGAAGCTCTAAATATCCAATAAAAGGAGACAAAAGGCAAATTAGAAAAACATGCTACAAAATATCTGTGGACATTACAAAACTTGGGAAGACTAAAGAGTCCTCTAGAAAATTTAGAATAGCTGAATCAAATTGGCAAGTATAATCCTTTCAAGGAAACAGTATATAAAAGTTTGCTGATCACAACCCTGACATCTAGAGAACTACAGGCTAACATAAAGTAGCATACATTACCTCAAAACCAGGCTTTTCAGGTTTCAATAAAGGCATGCTAAAGAAACAGAACTGTGGGTTTAACACTGTTTTTTCTATTTTCTTCCATGCTAACCCTGGGATAGAAGTTGTAATCTGAAGCAAGCAGCACACCGTCAAGGGTATTCTTACATAATCAGCAGAGAACAAACTGTTCATTCTCTTCCTTCAATCTGTACCCAATCAAACAGACAGGGTTCATCAGGACAGTTTTGCTACAGAGGAGGCTCAGTGTTTCAATTACTTTAAAAGCAAAAACATTTTTACTTGCAGGAATAAATAAAATCTTGTCGGTGCAGTTCTTTATAAAGACAATTAAGAAAGGGCTTAACATTTTCTCTGGGAGGCAAATTAACCTGATGCTGCTGTTGTACATCCCTGATGAGTAGTAAATAAGGGCAGAAGGAGGGACAGGGGTATTTGACAGACTTTTCTACACTCGAAAATGACCTTGTCTTCAGACTACCCAAATTACTTTTTTTATTGCTTTCTAATTTACCATCCCTTTTCTCTAAGTCCTAAGCTTGCTTCTGGATCCAAATAAAGAGGATCTGGTGATCCTCTCTGATGAGAGGCTGCATGCTGCACCACCACCTCTGGACAAGACTTTTCCTGCCTCCATGTGCAAATTCCTGGAAGGAGAAAGAGCAAACACAGGAAAACTGAAAAGATAACAGACTCTGATCTTTTCTCCCTGGCATTACAGGGTGGTGGTACATGGAATCAAGAGGCTTGTGGCCAGCCACAAGCAGTGATGGCTTTTTAGACTTTGCTGCCCTAGAGCAAATATTAACATTTTGAAATGGTTATGAAGCCTTACAAATGTTGTGTTGATTACAACAAAGCCTTGAAGCTAGAAATGAGGTGACATTAGTGTTTTAAGACAAGAATATTTTGTGTCTCAGCATGGAAATTCTTGAACAAGATCAGTCAATAGACAAAAAAAATACCACAAGGAATAATTCACTAGGAAACTCCAGTCCCTGAAAATACATCTCTAAGCTTAAGCAGATTGTCACCCAGTGAGCCCAGCCTTCCCACATGATCCCCACCAAATTTCAGCAGTGCTTTACCCTCAAGTCTGAACAGAGAGACAGGGTCTGGGTATCTGTTTTCCAGGACTAGGGAGGGGAAGGGTTTAAGGTGGGTTCCTGCCCAGCCCTTGTTGAGTTGCTTTTCTACCTAAAATAGGAAGGAGGCATGCCTAGTACAATCTATGCTCATAGCAGAGCACCTTGGCCTGGGATTCAGCCAGAGTGAATGCTGAAAGGACAGAGAATGGTTTTCCCGACAAAGGTAAAAAGCAGACACCAAGACTGGTTGAGTGCCTGGAGTGAATGTAGCATGCATGGGTCACTTGCTCATGCCCTACCTGCCCCAGTCAGCGCAACACAAGCTTGGGGGCATCAGCTATCTTCCCACTGAAGCCGTAGCTTTCATTCTTTCCCCTTAGGACCTTGTTGGCTACCTCTGTCCCTCCCCATTGCAGGGAGGGGGTGCATGTTCCACTCTCCAGCAGGATGGCTCTGTAGAGTCTGAACCTCTTGCAAGGTAGACGTTGGACTGCATGGCAGTGCCCATCACAAGCATTGGTATAACTGAGGATCTGCTAGTGTCCACTTAAAAGAGAGACTCAGCCCTAAGCCAACTCCCTCCTTTGGGGAGCGGCAGATGTGTGGAGGCAGATCTTTCACCTTGCTCACATTTTCCCTTAGAAAAGCCCGACAAAAAAATACTTCCCCAACCAAATGCTGGTGTAGCAAATCACTTGCAAATAAATCTGCTCACCCCATTTCCTCCTCTTCCTTGTTGAGCTTATCAGCATCACTCATTTTTGCCCCTCTCATTTGCTGTTGGCAGAGCCCTGTCCTATTTTACAATCCCTCCATCCAGAGAGGATTCTGACACGATGGCCCCATCCCTGAAAGACGTGTCCTGTGTCCATCAGGGCTGCCCAGCTGGGAGAGGGAAGGATGTGGGGACATGGGACCAGCAGCATGGATCAGTGACAGATTTGTCAGTCTCCTGCAAACACTGTTCAGATGTTGCATTTGGTATGACAAATAACACACATGAGGTTCCTCTGAAGTCCTCTGTTGTTGTTATCTCAAAGTCCAGCAGAGCTCAAAGCTGTTGCTGTTATCTCAAATGAAGGCTGTGGTCACGGATTGGGTGCATTAAAAGCATCCCTAGGATCTGTAAGAAGCTGCATCATTCCCACAGGCAGGGGTCAAAAATGTGGCTTCAGAGCTGCCTGGGAAATGGGGGTTTCTATCAAGCAAGTGGAGAAGCCCTCACAGGTTCTGGTGAATGGTCTGGAGCACGTGTCATATGAGGAGCAGCTGAGGGAACTGGGGTTGTTTAGCCTGGAGAAGAGGCGGCTGAGTGGAGACCTCACTGCCCTCTACAGCTGCCTGAAATGAGGTTGCGGAGAGCTGGGGATGAGCCTCTTTAACCAAGTAATAAGCGATAGGACAAGAAGGAATGGCCTCAAGTTGGGGCAGGGAAGGTTTAGACTAGATATTAGGAAGCATTTCTTTACAGAACGGGTTGTTAGGCGTTGGAATGTGCTGCCCAAGGAGGTGGTGGAGTCCCCATCCCTGGAGGTGTTCCAGAGTAGGGTCGACAGCGCTGAGGGATATGGTGTAGTTGGGAACTGTCAGTGTTAGGTTAAGGGTTGGACTGGATGATCTTCAGTGTCTTTTCAAACCTAGATGATTCTGTGATTTTCCCCCACATATTTGCTTTCTCCTTTCTCTTCCCCTGCCCCCCAACCCCACCCCCCACACCCCCCCAAGTGAATGTGAGATACAGGAGGTTGTCCTCTAAAGCTGGGTCAAGATGATTTATGATAGACACTTACATTAAAATTTACAAGTTCTTCTGATGCAGGAAATACGGTTAATCTGTAAATTTTACAGTTTGCATAGGTTAAAAAAATTATGTCTTTTTCACACATTCATTCTCTGAAAATACAACATAGCCTAACTGCGGATGACACCATAAATTGAAATTAGCCACCTTTATTACAGCTTAAGAACTAATGAACCACAGGGAAATACAGCTATGTGGTTCTGGCAAGTAAAGCAGAATAGTGAGATGAATGACATGAGCAAACCAGGCTTCTGGGATAGAAGAGGCTACCTTACTATTTGTAGTCTTCTAGGAGATTTCAGATTGTAGTATTTCTTTATTGCTCTTCTTTTTTAATAATGAAGAAAATGTTTTGTATACAGCAAGAGTAAAGAACATCAGCCAAGTGTTTTCATATGGACTTCCTATGTATGTTACTAGAAATAGTAGAACATAGAGCCTTACTCATTTTATATAAAGATGATGTTTAGTAAAATTGAACACACATCTATACAAGGCATTGGTTGGTATGAAATATTTCTGGTAAAGTGAAAAAAACAATATTACTTTTTAAAAGCATACAGCTTTTTGCTTCACTTCCTGACCAAAATTCAATAGTGACTGACCAGTTTTTATGGTAACAAAAAGAAATGTTTGTTTTATGAAATAAATTACAAATGGGAAGGTGGAAAGTAAATATTAATATCTGATTCATGGTGGACTGTATATGAAATAAATGTGATTTGCCACATAGCCTTTCCAAACAATATTTTAAAAGGCTTTTCTCTCCTTTAACATCATTTAGCTTCCCAAAAACTCTCCAGTACAATCTATCAAATAGAACACCACCTACCATTGCCAGCTAACACCAGGAAAAATTTCCTCCAGCCAACCTTCCAGTGGAAAACAAGTTGACAAGTATTTTTTCTAGTTTGCTGTAGTATTTAAATGTATCATCTCCTCCCTTTCTAATATTTCCCTCCCTTAAATTAAGGTGAAGTTGGAACAACTGTTGCCAACTATTCTCAACTCTACCAGGCTTCAAGCATGGTGCATCTTTGCTCAAGAGCTTGCACGACTTCTCCATTTAAAAGGCTGGTCTGACTGAAGAGGGTCTTGCAGCACACCTGGTCCTGTCCATACCCCTGTGCTGTGGTGACCAGAGCAACGGAGTTACTGGGAAACCCTGGCATTGAAAATATTTGAAAATATTTGACAGTAGGACCCTGGGGATGAGGTGCTAGAAGATGTATAGGGCCTCCCTGCCTCAGCACCTACACCAAGAACCTGCTTAATAACTATGTAGGGGTCTCACCCCAGCCCCAAAATAAAAATCAGAGAGTGGAACAGAAAATATTTTTGTAAATCCCCCAAAGAGAAGAAAAACAGGGGACAATAGTTACAACATGCCGATCAACTGCTAAGATAGGGTGTGCTCTATTTCTGTGCAAAATTAGAACTATTAGCCTAAATTCATCCTAACTCACCACAAATTATCCCAAAGAATTTAATAGCAAGAATGCATTTGTCATCCCCTTTTTTTGGTTTGGATTTTTGGGGTTTTTTTAAAGAAGGCTTAGGACATATGCTAGATGTACAGACTGTATCATATCTAGCAACATAATTACTTATGTTTAATTTCATTACAACATTCCCTCCCAATTCACTGACATTCACATGAAGGCGGCAGGCCCACTCTCCCCTTATTTTCTCAACTGAGAGCTTTGGGGCAACACAGAGCTCACAGAATTTCAGAGAGAACTGCTAAAGTTGCCCTGTACAGAATGTTTTTCTCCGAGAAGGGGTGCAGGATGCAGTTTAAAACCTCAGAGGAGAGTTTAAAAGATTATTCAGGGGGTTGCTGAGCAGCATTCTATATTATCTTTGAAGTGCCACAATAGCATTTGGACTGCTATTTAAATGTCAATATTTAAATTGTGTACATCACACTGTAGTAATACTTTAATTGCCGAAAACTAAGGATTTGGATTTTTAACAGGATTTAATGTTACATATTAAAGAATTTTGAAAGATAGCCCCACCTACTGACAGAACAGTCACAGTACAAAGTAAAAATTAAAGAACTTCATACTCACTGACCAGAAAACAGGGGTTTTCTTTCCCTCTTTCAAACAGACTCCAGAATCACTTTATACCAGCAGGGCAAGAGCTCTCATTTTCCCTTTGCTCAGTACATAAGCTCAGATGACAAAGTAGTTTCTCATTATCCTGTCCAGGATTTATTGCTACTTGAAAGGAAAAAATGTAGGAACTTCATTCAGTAGTGTCAGAAAATAAATACAAATACAAAGCTAATTGAAGAATCAAAATAATCAACTGAAATCTATTTAAATGGTTCAGCTGCATATCGTATCTCATGCACTGCTTCCCATGCTCAGAATTGTAAGAATACTTTATCAATAATGAGAAGTGCAAGTTATACCCTAAGTATTTTGCAACTTTAGTGAAGTTTGTTTCCCAAGTAATAATGGGAATGCTTTTTCTTCTGAAATTTTGATTCCTACTCCTTTTCCTTTTTTTTTTTTTTTTGTAGTGGGCAGACATAATTCTAGAGAATTTTGTTTCAAAAGTTATATTTAGTAATAGCCCTCATCTCTTCATGTTATGTCACTATCCATTTGTAAATAAGGAAGATTTTAACACTGTCTATCCAAAAAGCTCTTTCCCCGTTCCCTTAAAGCTTAACATTCTATATATTATATATTCGTAGTTGTTCCAAACCTACAGAACTGCCAAGAGAAAGTTGCAAGGTTTCTCCACAAAATTCTTTCATAATTAGTTTTCTCCTGCCTATGCCTGGCACAGTGAGCTCTCTTGGAAGTACTTTGCTTTTTCCTTTACTTTAGAGCCTGAGAAACAGATGGTATCAAACCATCCTACAGTAAGGGGTTTTTTTGAGCATATAAGGTGAAGAAGAGTGCGCTGGATAGAGAAGCTAACACTGCTAGTAATTCCCCACTATGTAACTCATCTTCCCTCATCTATTTTTCCCCTCTACAATGCTAAATCAAGGCACACCCAGAAATAAAGATTCACTACGTGCACAAAGCTCTCAAGCAGGCCAATACCCTTGTCCACCTTGTTATCATCTTCTCTTACAAATCAAGACAGCACTGCAGGACAAAGCACTGTTATATGGATAATAAAAAAATTACTACAATCTTTTTGTAGTATTTAACAATGGTGGTGGTTTTGCAAATGAGATAATCAGGGTTTTTTTTTCCTCCTTTTCCTCTTTGGTGAAAAGCTAATTTAATTACTGAAAGACTAGATAATGGGAAGCACTGGAGTGAATTAAGTATCAGTGACAGAAGGGACAAGACTTGAATTCAAATGATAACATATAGAAATAAAATTTAAAAATAATCAAAAACCACACAAAACCAAATTGAAAATTTAACTTTACTGACCAGTCAGTGCCACAGTGTTTCCAGTTAAGAAATTGCTATATGGAAACTGATAGAGATTCTTTTCATCCCTAGCTTGCTGCAAGGCATAAAAAGTAATGCAGCATGCTAGTAGAGGCATATGTTCATATTTAACAGGGACTGTTTGATTAACAGTTCTTTCATAAAGCTTTTACAATCACTACATTCAAATATGTTCTATTAAATCAATGCAAAACCAGAGATTAATTCTTCAGGTTCATTTTATTAGCAATGATGAATATAAATCTCTTATGAAAATATTCTTAACATTTCAATATATAAGAATTGCCTATAAAAATATACTACTACATAACAAAGCCAGTAACTTCTACAAAACATATCATTCAACATATATTTAACAATATATAGGACATCATAAAAATCCTTTCATTAATGCTGAGGGTATTTTTAACCCCTTTTTGTCAAACAATAACTCACATAATATAGGAAATCACTCATTCTGATATACAGAAGCGTTATCAGCATAGAAGTCTATGTATGTTCCACCCTGAAGTTACCTGCACCTGCAGGATCATAAAGCCACAACTTTTCTTTGGATGGACAGGCAGTTATGACCACAAAAACATTCTGTTGTTAACTGCAATGTCCTGCTGAAGTCAGTGTTGCACATCTGCTGCCAGCACTGCCAACTCTGAATCCATGCAGGGAGAGAGATCATGCTTCTACTACCCTCATGGGACTGATGCCCACAGATGACTGACCCTGCCATGGTTAGAAAACAGACTCTTCCCAGTTAACTGCTGCTAGCTAGCAAGGAAATAACTTTTTAAAGACACTGCCTCTCTAGAAATAAATTTTCTTCTAACAGCTAGCTCTTGATTAAAAGCTCAAGGAAGAGAAAATACTGCAGGCGGGGAAGTGTTTATACTAAATTATGATGAAGGGTAGTATTACCCATCTTGCCATTATCAACTACAGGAAGAGCCATCTTAAAACAGTTTTTGGAACTGGGAAAGAGACTAGTTTCACGTATTTCACCAATGCTGTTACACTGAGGTTACTTCATGCAGGGTGTTAGACAAATGCAGGAAATGAATTTTACTTATGTAGACTGCCCTTGTCTACACAATGAACTTGTCAAATTTGTAGTGTGGATTATGTAGAGAGCTTTTGGAGCTCCAACCTGCATGATTCTATGACAACCAACTTAACCTGAAAGAAACTGGCTATGGCACAGTGACAGTACACAGCTTTTTCAGCCATCAGTTTTATATAGAAAAGTCAGATACATAAGGCTTTAAGGCTATAAAGTCCCACTGAAGACAACAGATGATTACAGTGTTTTGCATAGTAAAGAACATGAGAAACGTGCTTGTGACACATCAGTAACAACTAAATCTTTTTACCCTGTGTTTATGTGCAAAACAACCAATAATTAATTATTACTCTATTCAGGACCCACTAAAACCTGTATATTGAATTAATACGTTGAAATTCAAGAGAAATTTAACATTATAGCATAGCAACTGCAATGCAACAGTATTTCATCATATTACAAAGGACTTCCTATTAGAAAAGTACATTTATGGAACTTAAAAATACTCTAAAGATCACAACAGGACACTACAGGCAATGAACTTTATTAATATATTTCTGACTCAAAGCTCAGAAAAATATTTGACCCTGAGAAACTTGCTGTATTTAAACTTAAAAAGCTAAAAAAGATGTCAAAAGTAAAACTCTATCCAATGAAAGAAAAAGAAAAAAAAAAAAATCAGAATCTGAAAGAATCAAGGTTTAGCCAGTTTCATTTCAGATTCTCAAACTGTTAAGCTCTGGAAGAAAAAAAAAATTGACCACCCTGACAGGAATTCTCAGAAATATTTTGTTTAAAAAACCCCAACATTTTAGGGTATCCATACTTTTGTATAATTTCATTCTCTTCAAGGCTTCCAACTAAAATTTAGGTTTTCACCTGCATTTGAAGAAAAATTTAAAAATTGAGGTGGTTGAAAAAGCTTAAAGCTTAAATGTTTTTCAAATCATCTACAAAAGCTAGTTACAGAAGCCAGCTTGTCATGCTTTATGACTAGAGAAGCTCTAGCCATGTCCTTCATTCTCACACCAGTTAAACAAATCTCTAAAAGATGCATCAAAATCAAAATAATGTTCAAAAAATTACAATGTTCTCCAACATAGGAAATTCTTTAGAGGATTATTTTAACTACTTAAATATTTAGGAAGGTTTAGGACAGCAGCAAGAAATAAGTAGATGGAGCCCATAAGGAAACCCTATAGGTTTGGACAACAAAAAAAAAAAATCTGGGGTTTTTGGCACTACAGGTATGGAAATATATTGGAAGAGTTTCTGCAAGAACTTGAGAGAAAGAGTAGCAATCACTGTATTAGGTTGTTGACTTCAGCTTATTTTCTGCACTTACTTACATGTTAAGGGCAAGAAAACAGTCCTTTCTTCAGTAGTCTGTTCTCTACTGAGTGTAAACAAAATTCATTGAAATCACATGACCTAAAGATTTTTTTATATAAAGTTTCCACATTATTTTTATTCTGTACTGACAAAGCAGCATTCCTATGCTGTAATTTAAACTATTATCTAATTCCCCTTCCTAATGTTTTCACACTGTCATCAAGTGCAGGCTACTCTGCTTTTGCCCTAACAAGCTTACTAAAAGATTATGTAGCTGGATCTGCTCCCAGGGCCAGCTCACCACACCACCACATAAGCATAAGCACTGAGACAACAGGAGGAACCAGGACTAGCTGACAGTCCAAGTTTACATCAATCTGAGCTGCTTTGGAACCACACCTTTATAAGCGTCAATTCAAACACATGTATATTAAACATGAACTGAAGCAGTAAAAAATGAAGTCTACCTTCCTTCCCACCCCTGAAAGCTGCTGCTCAATGGCAGTGATGGCTGAGAAGCAGAAGAAACAATCCCAGTTTACAATTTCAAGTATTAAGTGAAATGGATGCCAAACTGGAATTTTATTACATTGCGCTTTAAAGAGATGAGAAAGCAGTTTCACACTACTCCTGACCTTGTCAGCAGTAGAACTTCAGCCTTCAGGAGAAGCAGAGCACAGACAGCTATAAGCAGGAATTGATTCTACCACTCAAGTGGAATCTGCTCCAGTCCATAAACATACATGGATTCAGGGTGCTGGTTTACATACAGAATCTTGCACAAAGCTGGCTCCTGACATCCAGATGCATCCCAAAGTACTACACATGTTCCAGTCCTTCGGGATTCAAGTCCCCTAGATCCGCTCTGCCAGAATGCAATGCTTATTGGTGAAATAAAAGATGTATGACTAGACATCTATAAATCAAAGTAAGAAAACACCTGCTCCCTTCAATGATTCTGAAAAAGAAAAACAAAACAGCCAAGTCTACAGAACACAGTATTCTCCTTTAGAAAAACACTGGAGTAAATAACTGAAAAACACCTCACAATAAGATCCGAGTTACTATTTACTTTAAGCACTACTGAGACAAGACCCAAAAGTACATAAGACTCCATCTGGAAAAATCCCCCTACCTGATACTAAACATATACTCCTTTGCAAACATGAAAGACACTAAGATCAATAACAGAAGCCTTTTATCTTAGCATCTGTTGCTATCAAAATAAAGCCTATAAAAGTGGGAAGATGTGCAAGAGAAGTGCAGATTTAAGAGGGTCAGCTGGAGAAACAGGGCTGAAGCTGCCCACTAGCACTGCCTGATGTAGCATGGATGCCTCCATGTCATGAGATGTGTATGCATAGCTCCACCCTCTTGCCAAGCTCTCCTCAAACCTGTTCTGTAGCATCTCTGCTATGATCTTGGCCAACCTGCATTTTCTGTGAAACTGCAATTACTCTGCAGTCTTGTAAATTCTTATAAATTGGGCAATCGCTTTATTGTAGATCCTCCTAAATTTATGAAGGCCAAGAAGACTTAAAACTTGGTCTCATAAAAAAACTTCTGTACAAAAGAATCTAAACAAAAGGTTTATAAGCAGCATTTAAAATAACCTATATTAAATACCTAAAAAATATAATCTTTTGCATAGAATAAAGAAAAGTGCAGCTACACCATAACATTCCTTACCACAAGAAATGGCTAATTTATGAGTGGTATACAATGAATTGTTGTCTCTCATCACTGAGACTGCAGCAACTAAATGCATGTTTCTTGAGAAAAATCACATATTGAAAAAAGGGATGAGGTTGTTTCACTGTATCTGTAAAGCAAGTGCAAGCATTTAAAATTCTTTTTAAAAGAAAGCAAACCTGATAGGTAATTTTCACAAGTTAATTTTCACTGGATATTACTTGGAAAGATGAAATAGCCTTTGTTCTTTCAGAATCCAAATTCAAAATAAAAAAAAAAAAAAAAAAAAAGCTTGTAAATGTGCAAGCTTCATCTGTTCTGTAAGAGCTGGATGTTTATAGTATTACAACCCTTCATTCCGTCCTAACTTTTGTACTGCAATCCCTCTGGTAATCAAGCACAGAATAGTATTAAATAAGCCTGGGAAACTAATTTCCACTGCTCAGAAGAATAAAGAAAGAGTCCGAGAACTGGAGAAGCAGGAATTTTACGAAAGTAAAAGCCAAAAAAACTCTTTTCCACTTCTGATAGGAAGCAAGCAACTTTTAAATATCTATTTCTCGTATTTGCATGCCTAAATGTAAGAGCAGCATATACCTAATCAGTTGTTAAAACATATTCAATTTTGCTTTTTTTTAAAAAGTCAACTTACTTCATTGGATATAACTTGGTACTATGATTTGATAAGTGAGATCTTTAAAATAAATAAAAATAAATATTGTATATATATTTCAAGATTGATTGTTTCTATAATGAATTAGTGTCTGTATTGTTAGATTTCATTTTGTTTAGCTTTTTTCAAGCTTTGTCGCCACTTACGAATGGCAGTTCCAGAACTACTAGCTACTACACAAAGGGCACCACCCACAGTCCACCAGGTTGGTAGATGATTCAGAAAAAGAATTTGTAAAATAAAAGCAAACACCACATCCATTGTTTTCATTATGGCTACAGGTCCAGCTTTCTCTATCTGTAATGCTTTTGTGAGAAATATCTGACCCCCCAACCCTAACAAGCCTATTAATATTAGAAGAACCCTATCTTTACCACAGTATGGTAAACGCCATTCATTCATAACAAACAATGCTATAACACATCCAATTAAACCAATGACTGCATAATACCAAATTGACAAAAAATAATGCACAGATTTTCCAACCTTCCTTAGTATAACAAAAGTCGAAGCTCCAGATATTGTGCTTGTAATTGCTGCTATAGTTCCTTTAAGGTGATCTGTGTAACTTCCTTCAATCCCCGTAACATTTGACCCAAACAGAAACGGTGGTCTGGCAATAAGAACCACTCCAGTGATTGCAAAGAGGGTAAACAGAAGATCCCAAATACTGTATTTCTCTTTGAGAAAGATCCATGCCAGCAACGATGTAAAAACAGGACTGCTAAAAGTTATAACAGTGGCATCAGCTAATGGCATGACTTGGAAAGCATAGTAGAGAAGAATCATTGCACTGGAGCCAAGGAATCCTCAGAAGAAAAGAAAAATTCTTTTACCTTTTGGTCCCAAAAACCCTGTTCTGAAAAACAAAAATGTCACATTAATGTCACTGGCTTGCTTATTTCATGACCAACATCCAATCACATTTAAATGTACACACCCTTTTAGATGAGGGATTTACCTCAAATATCAAAATATTCTTAACTGCCTGATCACAGACCAGTTTATTCCTATCACCACCCCCCAATCACATTCAGAGTCCAGAACTTGTTCTTCTAACTCTTATTTTTTTTGCTTGCAAAAAAAACTAAAGAGTATCTACAAATTACCTTCTATTTTTTAAGAACACCACTTCATGGAAGATCAATACATTTGATACAAACTCTGCAGAAACTTCTATAATTCAGGGAGTCAAAGATTTTCAGTTTTCTGAATTGCATTAAGAAACTATCAACTAATCCAAAACAATGCAGTTATGCAACTGAAGTCTTGATTAAAATAATATTGCAATCTGATTTGAGTAATCATTCTAGATCTGTTTTTATGAAATAACTTTTGCTACACTTACTTGTAGTATATTAAACCAGGAAGAACAAATGCCATTTGGAAAACACATCGAAACGCACTCACTTCCACTGAATGTACATCTTCTATTTTTTTAAGAAATAAAGAGGCCACTGAGAAAAGGAAGGCAGACAGTACAGTATAAAACAGACCAAGTCCTGGACACGCAGCTTTCTTCTTTGTTCCTGCAATAGATAAAATTCCAGTTAATAATGATCTACTAAAGATTTCTCAGGTCAAGAGGTTCTACATACTGTAGTGCTCCATACATTTGTAGCTGTTCTTGTGATAGAGGACAGGGGAAGCAATGGAAACAAATGCAAATACTACAGGTATTTACTAGACAAACCTTGAAAATATGTTTCACACACCACCACGGGTCTCCTTTTTTTTTTTTAAAATAGGAGATAAGAGATGAACCCTAACACTTTGGATACAAAGCTTCTCACAGTTTCATGCAAGTTATTAGGCTTTACTTCCTGGAGGCAGTAGTCTAGCTTGGGCAATTCACTGCAGGACTAGTTTATGATTCTGACGATTGACCAAGGACCAATAAATACAGCTGACTGCAGAATGGTCCATGGTCAGATTCTGAAACACTGAAACTTAGTACCTTGAAAATAATTTGATTATTAATTTAATTAAGGTTCATAAGCAATGATTTAATTTCCTTTCTCACAAATACACATGTTAACATTGTGTACAGAACCTCACCTTTGTTAGACCCCATGTTTATTTTGCAGGTAAACCACCCTAAATTTGACCTAGGCCTCCAGAAGTTTTATATATTTTTATCTTGGTGTAAGAATCCAAGTATTTTCTTCAAATAAGCATCAAATATACATTTAAGTGACTAATTTTAAAACATCACAAGCTTGCTTAAAGCACCGATACCCATCACAGTTCCATGAAGACCTTAGTTTATGCTTATTTATCAAACTTTCTCTTCCTGAAGTAGTTTCCCAAGTCTAATGGTTTCTATTCAAGCTTCCACATTGCCTCAGGCTCTCTTCAGTAACATACTCTTCCTCCTCCCACTCATCTTCTCCACCCTCAACTATTAAAAAAAAAAAAAAGGGGGGGGGGGGGGGGAGACACCACTTCTTCTGCATATCACTGAGATAATGCAACAGAAGTTGATTTGTTGTTATTGCTGTTGGAAAGATAATGGGATACATCTTTTTGATCACAGTAACATTTTCTTCTGTCTTTAACTTGCTCTCAGAGAAGAGATGCAACACCTCAAATTCCTTTTGCATGTTTTGTACATGGATTGTACGGTTTCAGAAATCCATGTTGGAGCCTTTCATAAGCAGTAGTAATTAAGTTTCTCAAGGAAATTTTTTTCTAGGTTAATAATTTTTTGCAC